AGAGAGAGAGAGAGAGAGAGAGAAAGAGAGAGAGAGAGAGAGACAGAGAGAGAGAGAGAGAGAGAGAGAGAGAGAGAGAGAGAGCCCTGCGGCACACAGCGTGTCAGAGACCGGGAGCACAAGGGCAGGCGCTAACCTCGGGAAAAAAAGGAAATGTTCTATTCGAATACAAGAGCTTTTCCAATCCGAAATTCAATCAGAAAACATATGTTTTGTATTCGAATACAAGGCATGTGCATTCCATTCGCAGCGCCATTCTATTTGAGAAAAGTGGAGTAACTTTTAAGATCCAGGCCCTGGAGGACCGCGGCCAATACCAGTCCTGCCCCTGTAAGGACTGCCCGCCCCCCTAGAAGCCCCTGCCTGCAATTTTAACACCCTTCCGACGACCACCGGGCCCGTAGAGACGACTGGCATAACGAACGAAGACAAAAATGACTCAGGTGTATAAATGCAACCCTACGGGCTGCGAACATCATCGTCATCATCATCATCAACGTGAGAGGGTTGGTGATGCATGCCTATTAGTAGACAGGCAACGTGCAGACCAATAAGACAGTGTTGGGAATGCATCCGACCAAGAACATGGGCATGTTCAAGTTGGTGAAGCACCAACATGAAGGAAGACATACATACAATGCCACCGGCTGACATTTTCTGGCTTAGAAGGGATACCGTCTTCACCCAAACAGACCGCCAGGTTGGTCTGTAATGCAACTTGGTCTGGCAAAAAAAAAAAGACAAAAAAAATACAGCTGTCCCCCGATGAGGAGAAGAGAGGTTTAGAAAAAAGAAGAGAAAAGAAAGGAACAAAAAGAACGCCCAGTCATTATACTGTATTTGGGGCATTAATTCCAATTTCTGAACCATTTGTCAAGTCCCTTTTGACTGAGAAATTGAAAATCGGGTACACATGCATGGGTTGGAGTTCCCCCTCCCCCCTCCTCCGCCCCCCTCCCCCTCCTGATGAGTCAGTGAAACTCCGATGAAACAGGCCAAGCAGCCTAGCTCAGTTGGTTGAGCATGTAGGTGGTACACAGGGGGTCGTGGGTTGGATTCCCCATGACTTCCATTCGATTACCCACGACCCCTGTGTGGCATACTTCGGCTTCACCGACAGAAGAAAGTCGGCTTGTCCCTCCTGGCTGGTTGTCGAAGTGTTGGTGTCAGTTCACTTTCCAGCCTGCACCAGGTGTTAGGAGCTTGGGTGCGGCTCCCCACACAGAGCGGAGTTAGGTAGGTGAAAGGATTCACGCTGCAGACATCCCGAGTCCCAGCTTCACGGTCCCAAATTGTCCCAGTCCCAGATGGTCCCGGTCCCAGGCTGTCCCGGTAGGGTAGGTCCTAGGGTCCGTAGGTTGAAGTGTCGTACGCCCGTAGGTGTTGGTACCCAAATGTCGTAGGTCGTTAGAAGTCAGTCTGGTACCCCACAAGAAAAGCCCAGTGCAGTCCAGTCCAGTCGCAAGTCCTATTTTTGCAGCATGTCCCAGGAAAGTCCGGAAGCAACCGGTCCAAAATGATTGCAGCAGACAGGCCATGGCCGACTGGTACCAGTCTGAAGCAGGCCAAGCCATGTCCAGTTCTATATTTAGCTGCTACAGTGTGGCGGCTCATCACTTGTTCAGTTGCGAGATGCGGAAGCGTTGCTGCGTTTCTGCTGCTTGTGCGTTGAGGCGACTTGGGCACATCGCGCCTGGGGAAGGAAGAAGTCACGCGAGATACTGCATAGCTAGGGTAGGGAAGTAGGAGTCAGGAAGCCATAGCCACCAAGCTGTTAGCTTATCTGAGTGGATGTATCCAAAGAGAGAGAGAGAGAGAGAGAGAGAGAGAGAGAGAGAGAGAGAGAGA